TCGGTGGGGTGAGAACGAGACCTTGAGGCTGTGCAGTTGTCCTCTGAGTCTGACGTCAAAATGCAGAAACGGCGTGCATTATTCTCCCCGATTCCAACCTGGCTTATTCATACATGCATAATGCATCAGAACAAGTTTCTGGACATTCCTCACTGCAGTGCTTTGGTGTTAATAGGCTAATAGTGGACTGGATTAAGTCCTTTTCTGGGTTGTGTTAAACTAAATTGCAGATGACGTGCGTGACCATGTTCTGTGAAGTCATAGCTGTGTTTTCTTGTACTGGTCTGTCTCCCTAATTACTCCTGTGCTCATGGCTGACTTTTGCACACATACCTTTTGTCTGAATGTGGGCAACTCAAACCAACAACTCTTCAATCACCTGGACGCACACCAATGACAATATGTCAAGATGAATGCAGACTTTCCAGTGTGTGCTGCTCCATACTGACTTCAAACGGATGCACACATGATGAACTCCCCGTCCAGACGCTGAAGCATGCAGGGAATGAAATAGAAATCAAACTCAATACTGCATCATCTCATCGCGTCTTAAAAAACCGAGACAGACATGAAGCCTGCAAACACACAAAACTAATAATACCACCATTCCTCTTTCTCGCTCTTCCACACACACGCATATATGCAAGCTCTGTTGCTCCCTCACATACACATGGAAACACACACCTCCCAAATGAATCACCCTCCCAAGTGCTTAGCATCATCAGCATTCCCTGAATCAGCCGTGACTGCAGAGCACAACTGCATGACATGAGAGTCTCAGGGGTCAAATGAAATGCACACTCTAAGTGCCACTTCATCTTCAAGGCATAACAGTGAGCAGCGGCTCAAGAGCGAACTCGAATAACGCTGGATTGTGTCAGCCATTGTGCTCCTCTCGCCACTTAATAAGCCTGCATGGTGGCTCATTGTGAAGCGTGGTCCTTTAGCACTTTTCTCCAGCCACGCATGACTTCTCCCCAAACGGGCTCTTCTCCAGCCCCTACTGTCTGTTTATGTAGACTACCACCAGGGCGGCAAGGAATGCACTTCCAATACGATCTGCTCGCACACATCCTTAGATGAGGAGTCTGCTTCGACTTGCTGATATGAGCTGGGTTTTTTTTGTTGTTGTAACTTTTACACAGGGGTAAATGTTTTGATTAAAAGGCCGTTACTATTTTGCTAGTCACAATGACTTTGTAGTGGAGGGGTTTGCTGCCGTGCTGACGGATGGATGGCCGCTCCCTGCCTCCAGTGAGCGGTTGAATCAGAGAGGAGCTGTCATCACCGGGCTGCCGACGCTGTTGCTTGAACTGAGAGGAGGGCGGGGGTAGTGTGTGTGTGTGTGTGTGTGTGTGGGGGGGGGCAGGAGTTAGGACGATGTGCTGAAGGGGGCAAAGAAATTTAGGGGAAGGAGAAGATGTAGGCCTTGAAAAAGAGAGAGGGGGAAGATCATGTGGGATGGAACAGAAGAGGTCAGTATTGGGTGCAGCTCACCTCACACCCCAATCCCAGAAGACACTGCAGAGAGGGAGTCTGCATTACGTAAAAGGGGGGAAAGCAGGTGGTACTGTCTACGCAGTCCTGCTGTGGCTTTTGGTCCACGGTTAAATGCTCCAGTCATCTGGGGGTCCCATAACATGGTGAAAATGGGGAGACAATTACGCATTGTGCTGATCTGACACGTCAGAAGATGACGGCATGCCATAAAACCTGAGACGAAAAGGCGTAAAGGGCTGAAGCAGCATCTCTGTGATGGGGTGGATGAAGAGGAGGAGTAGACGAGACTCGCACACTCATAAACAGACATCAGTTTCTGCAGAACTTTCTGTCTTATGTTCATATCTCACAAAGATGAGCCTGAAAAACACAAATCTATGTTCAAACAAGTTTAATTCCTGGTATAATTGGATTCCTTGATGTTCACCCACAGTCATTCATTATAAAGCTTTAGTGCCCTTTGATGCCAAGACCTGCAGTCGATGAACACGACTAATGAGCTCCCATTAAACCAACATTTGACAACATGCAAATTTGAGCTTGTAAATAGAGCAATCACTAAAAGTTGTAGTGTAGTAAAACACACAGATTATGTCTGCAGTTTTAAAGTAGTCGTGCAGTGCCTCCTATTGGGCACTCCTGCAAAGTGCATGTGGTGTTTGGTGCTTTTGTCCTATTTGAATTGAAAACCTCACCTTTATTTTCTGTGTCTTGCATATATTTCAGAGTGTTGCAACAACCAATCACAGATACAATGCTAATAAATAAAAGCCCAAACAGATGAGGTGCAGCAGGTTTCTGCCTCCAATACACTGCATTATCTCTTATTTTGGTTTCACTGCAAGAATGTGATGAAGAAGCTGTAAGTACTTAATTCCAAAACAGAAAAAACACCTGACATCTGTCAACACCTCGAGAAAGCTGGAGATGCCACACTCCTGTCCAGCTAATAAAACAATAAAACAGCGGCCTGTGCCCATCAACTGCACCAGCAAAGAGAGACCAGTGGGATAAACAAAGCAGTGGAAAGGCTGGCTCTTACAGGGCTAAACCTGAGACAATCCTTTTTAACCTCCTCTGTGAGAAGCCAACACAGTAAACCCTTACAACTTCCACCTCGTACCTTGATTGTGTAACAGGAAACTAAATTATGACTAAATGGCCGCACACCGAGGCAACCAGGGGGAGATCAGCGGGCTCGTATTTACTGGAATACTGCTCAGATGATTTCCAAAAATACACGACACGACTGTTTCAGCTTTATTTTATGTGAAAGTTAACACTTTAAGCAACACATTAATAAGAAACAGCAGGAGAAGAAGTCATTCACTGAGCCTTGTTTAGCAGAGAAGGCGAACATTATTCTTTATGTTAAAAGCTAATGAATTGCAGCAGCAGTCAGGTCTTACCTTCAAACAATGCAGTCTGACTCGGCCTTGGCAGGTCAAAACAATTAGCCTAAGTAATTTCGTGTAAGCATGTCTGAGGCCTGCAGTTATTCTGACAAAGATACAGCTGTTCTACACCCTATAATTGAAACAATTTGGAGTAACAAGGGGGCTAAATTGGAAGAAAGTGCTCCGTTAATGTTAAGTCATTCCTAAGGCGAGGTCCAGCTGGGGACCTGCGGTGCGTGTCATCGCACATTTCACTCCCTTCATGTCTACATCAGCTTCTATGACCTAATTTCAAATCAGGGGGAAAAGAAAAGTGTAAAATCATCCTACATCCTGGAGTTTGTTTTCTGAGTAGTATTAATAAACTGATTTTCTGATGAAGACAAAGGTTAAATAAATAAAGGTTAAAAGCATACTGCCTTTCATTTTTAAGGTTTTCATATCAGGACATACAAAATAAAGAGGTCTTAAGTCATCTGATGTAAAGAAAACCTCAGATGAACTACAAAATGTGACATATTACAGCATGTTGTTGTTTATTTCAATTAAGCCAACATTATTTAAGCCAAAGCACTGGGTGGAAAAACTCACCCTTGCTGCTTCCATATGAATTAAGAATGTAAGAAGGTGTTGCTAATCTAACGTAATTGATTATCAGCAAGTGTAAGGACCTCTAGTCTGATCTGGAGCATTAAGGCGTGTGTTAAAAAATGCCAAAGAGGAAAGACACCAGGACTGATCTCAATGAGGCAACTTTTCCAACCCAATAGTTTAGGAAGGATTATGAGGACACAGCGTCATGGCTTAGGTTTGCAAATCATATCTAACCAAATCCCAAGACTTATGTGATAATGTCCCTCGTGGACCAAAGTGGAGATATGTCCATATGACACAAAGCACCACACTTGGTGAAAAACAACCACAGCATATTAGCGCAAACAGCTGACACCAGCTGTGAAGCACGGTGGTGATGATTTGGATTTGTTTTGCAGGTGCAGGATATGGACAAAAAAAAAGAAGAGAATCAATGTACTGCAATAGTACAGTCAAAGTACAGGCAGCAACCTGAGTGAAATGCTGTGGTGGGAGCTTAAGAAACCTGTGCTCAAACAAATGTCCACAAACCTCAATGGACTGAAACAATGGTGTAAAGAAGAGCGGGAACATCTTCTCCAAAACGGTGTGAGACATCGATAAAGCCATACAGAAAATGAATACTTCTAGTAACTGCTGCTAAAAGTGATTCTATAAGCTACTGAGCCATTGGGTTTACTGAGTTTTCCACAACTTTGTTTAATTTTAAACAAAATAGTACAGTGTCACGTCACATGTTGTTGTTCAGCTCAGGTTCCATTTATCTCATTTTAAGACCCGGTTAAGCTACAGATGTTTGTTTTTTTTAATTGTTATTTTTTTTATTAATGTGAAACCTTAGAATTGACATAGCTGTCTTCTTACCAAGACTGTACCTGAGGGTACTTTGACAGGATACATAAGGAAAAAACATGGTTATGTATTTTTCCCAAGTTTTCTGAAGTGTGCTATTATGAGCTTAGTTCTTTGCTTGCTTGCAGAAAAATTAGACCTTTCCAGACACTCTGACCTGTGACAGAAGTAAAAGTCCAGATGTTACTGATAACATTAACAACAAAAGGGCCCTGGAACCGAGACAACAAGACACAATTGTTTCATCATTATTTTTTACTATTTTCAGCTGGGCCGGGGTTTTTTTTTTTCCGAGGGTATCCATTAAAATGTGTGCTCTTTTGTATTTTTGCTTTTTAATGCGGCTTCTTATAATAGGCTTTATGTTCTTTAATTATTGTAAAACATTGCACAGTGCCAATAAACCAAACATAACCCTGAGTTGACTGGAATTTGCCATGTACAACAGCTGTTCCTTCCTAAAAAAACCCCAAACAAAACATGTTAATGTGCCCATCAAGCATATTTGAGTAACTCTACAACAGTAAAAGTAATATTTACCTTTAAAAAAAAGAAAAAGAAAGAAGGAACACTAGCCAAACGGTAACTTCAGTGCAGTGAATCGCTCCCCGATGCAACTGATGGATAAATCCCAGGAATAGTAGTCGAACGCGGAAGAGAGCGGAGCTCAGATGGAATATGGCTCTCTCCAGAGGTTTGAGATGCTGTCAGAGGGTTTTCTCGTGGATACCTGTTCTTATTATCACCGCCGTTGTCTTGTGGTCGTATTACGCCTATGTCTTTGAACTATGTCTTTGTAAGTATGGCAAACTGTGTTGGTTTCTCGCGACTTTGATCGTTTAGGTACAGACACCGCAGACTACCGCACAGCGGTGTTGACATAACGTTATAGAAAGAGCAGGAAGTGGCTTCGGGTGTGTGCGTTCATTTACTTAATATACAATCAGATTCTTCTTAAACCTAAACTAATTTCCCATTTTCCCCTACAAGCTCAGTGGTAATTCCTGGTTTTATACCAAAACTGTTGTGCTGTTATTCCTCTTAGCTAAGTACAACCTGACAGTCTGGCTAGTCGTGTTAGCCGGTAAATAGCCGGTAAATGCTGTTTCAGTAAACAATAAACAAACTAGTGTTAGCCGAAACAGTTAGCTAGACTGTTGTCAGTCAGCCAGCTTGGGTGTATTTCTGAAATCATGTTCTTGTTTTAACAGTTACAATCACCAATACACTGGAAAAAGGTAAGCTACCCTCTCGTCTCAGTGTAATGTGCACTGTTGAACCATGAACTAGAATAACACCGGGCTTGTTTCTGATATAATATGTATTATGGTGATTATGTCTTGTGCTTGCAGTGGCCTATTTGCTTTTATTTCATGTTTGCTTTGTGATGTTCTCCTGGACCTACTGGAAGTCAATATTCACCCCTCCTGCGTCTCCATGCAAAAAGGTCTGGAGAGCTAACCTGAATATCACCAATTAACTGTGGCCTATGCTGAATATGTTGTATGCAAATATCTGTCTGTCTGCTTTAGTTTCAGCTGTCATACTCAGACAAGCAAAGGTACGAAATGGAGGACAGACCAGATGCTCAGAAGCAAATCCTGGTTGAGATTGCAAAGAAGCTGCCTATTTTCACTCGAGCCCAATCTGGAGGTAAGCAGTGAAATCATGTGAAATGTTTTCTTTCTTTTAATTTTCTTTGTCCACCTTATTTGATATAGAGTTGTTGGGGGGGCACTAACAAGGCAGGTATATTAGCCGCAATCCATCATCTCACACATAATCTGTGTTTGGTGAAAGGAAATAGGTGAGGGCAATTAGCTTTGTGTGCGCTCCGGAGCATCTTCAGCCAGTGTATCTCTTTCGTTAATGCTGATTGGTAAGACTTAAGTTCTGGGCTGCAGGAAGTATTTGAAGGGCAAGCTCAGCTCAAATGTCGTCCATTCAACTCGCCATCCTCTTGTCTCCAGCTATCAGGTTCTGCGACCGCTGCCAGGTGCTGAAGCCTGACCGCTGTCACCACTGCTCCGTCTGTGAAATGTAAGACACCCTTTCCTCCCCAATCCCTTCATCTGGAGATGGAGAGAGGCAATTAGATATTTGTTGGCCAGGGACTGTTGTGATAATTAGAGGATGTTGCTTTTGTTTGCCATGTCATGTCTTGAAGACATTATTCCAAAGATCAATCAGTGCAGAGGTTTAGCAAAGGGAACGAGCTGATAGCTGCCAGTGTACATGTTAAAGAAAGCCGTAAGAAAAGCTTGCCTAACATGAAACAAATGGCATTAAAATGATATAGAAACCTTGTCTTGCTTTTAAGGTGTGTCTTAAAGATGGACCATCACTGTCCCTGGTAAGTTGTAACCTCTTCCTCTTCGTCAGTGTTTAAATGTTGAAATAAATGTTTTGTTCTAAAACCAGAATGTCTTTTTCCTTTTAAGGGTGAACAACTGTGTTGGTTTTTCCAACTACAAGTTTTTTCTCCTTTTCCTTGCCTACTCTATGGTGTACTGTATATTCATTGCGGCAACAGTCTTTCAGTATTTCCTCAAATTCTGGGAAGTGAGTGTCATTCTTGCTTTATGACTCATATTCACAAGTTGTCATAATGTCATTTTGAAGTCCTTATAGTCAGCAGTATTGTATTTCTGCAAGATTCAAGCATTCTGTCATAGTTTATTCTCAGGTTTCTAGCGCTAATATTTCTCTCTTTCCCAGGGGGTCTTGCCAAACGGGCCTGCAAAGTTCCACGTCCTCTTCCTCATGTTTGTGGCTCTCATGTTCTTTGTCAGTCTCATGTTCCTCTTTGGCTACCACTGTTGGCTTGTGGCCAAGAACAGATCTACATTAGGTGAGAATTTGACACATTTACTGATTAAACCTTCCTTTGATTTCTTTTTTAAGAAATTGATCTCATTTATTTATTAAATTAAGCACACATTAAATATGGTATGGAGAATTGAAAGGTTGACAGGGGGAACCTAACTAGTTTCATATCTGTTTTTTAGAGGCCTTCTCAGCTCCGGTTTTTGCCAACGGACCAGACAAAAACGGCTTTAACGTCAGCATGCGCAGAAATCTGGAGCAGGTATTTGGAGAGAATCGGAGATTGTGGTTCATCCCCGTCTTTACGAGGTGAGTTTGTTGTCAGGAGGCAACTCGTTGATTTCTATAATGAGGTGATGGCATTTTGGCATCTTTACACTTAAGTCTTGGCCCTATAGTTTGCAACAGTGTGTTGAAATACACAGAATTAATTCAGAGTGCAACGTGTGCCAAAGCCAGTAGTCACAGAACATGATCTGGATCCTCACCAAAAGCTAATGGATACTTCCTCTGTTCACCACCACTTCTCCACCAGGTTCATGGAATTTGGCCTGTTAGGTTTTGCATAATGTTGTGGACAAAGAGGCTGAGCAAGTGTCTGTACCTCAGCTTACTGCCATGGTGGAGGAAGAGTTGGAGATCAGTATAATAATTTAAGTAGTACACCGAATATTTGAAGTATAAGGGATATGAATAATTGATGGTGAACAATATGACATTGACTTCAGAATACAGAGTAGTTTTACATCAAGCTGCAGTGGAGCTAATGAATAACATGCATAGTGAAGAATTTGATCAATGGTTGGAACTTATTTAATAGTTAACTGGATCTTTAACAAGCTTCCGTCTGTTTCTGTACCTCTTATATGTCAGCCAAGGGAATGGCCACTACTTTGCTTTGAAGAACCGGAGCTCTGAATCCCAGAACCCCTTATTAGCTAACGAGGACATGTGGGAAGAGTCAGATGATGGGTCTGAGGAGGGAAGCTTGGGTGAGTTTATTTAAATTCTGTCATATTTAAAATACACAGAACTGAAAAGCCTTTTTCTCATTAATGTCCAATATACTGTATATCCTATTCAACTTATATCATCCAGGACAGCTGTCATGACCTGCTGGTCAACATATCTTCACAGTAGCACCTGATCCATGAAATATATGGCTCTTGGCTTCTATTTACTCTGATGAGATTGCTGGTGCTAGAGACACAAGTAGTTTCCTTCCAAAAATAATTGGCTCTAATACTTTTGCATTTTTTTTAATCCATTAAAAAACCTCTTAAGAGACTAAATGCTTGAGTTTTCTCCAGAATCTGTTAGCATCTAATTACAGTTATCTTTTGTGTCATTTTGACCTTTGTAGTTGCTTTGCACTGTGAAATTTAAAAACAAAAATAAAGGGTGAGTCGTGCGAGTCACAGGCAAATGCTTGCAGGCATCCGGTGACTTTTACTGTATTTTCTAAACAAATATTTTACCTACTCTATCACCTTCAGGTCTTACAAAAACAAGTAATAGTGTCCAGTGAATACTTGTGCTTTATAAGTTATTTGTGCCTGTCTCTTATATATGTTTTTTATTCCTATGAAAGTCATATTTATTGCTCGAGTGTAGTGACAGAGAAAATATCCATTCAGAGACCCCGACTTTTCCGTAACTTGACTTTCCAAATATGGAATGCCTGCACTGAAACATCCAAAAACAAATGTTGTTGGAGGTCACACAGTAGGAGCAATAAGATGGGCAAGGTTTGTAACCTTGGGCTAATGGCGGAGGGGATGGGACACAGTAACGACACCATGCAACGGCAGATTAGTTCAATATTTGTTCAGTTGAAATGACCTGAAGGCTTCACTATAAACTGCTGCTGTGTTTATATTTTGCTACCACCTGCTGGTCACATGAACCACACTGTTCACTACCAGCTGCATCGTTTACAACAAAACCACAGAAAAAATTAATTTACATGCTGATTTTTTTTTTTTTTAAATCATTCCAGCAGAGGATGTGGACCCCTCTGTTACCATAGAGATGGAGGAATAATTTACACTGGTGGAGACCTGGACTTGTATCGCACACACTGTGTATTGAGAGGTAAATGCATTCCAAATCGCAAGGACGTTCAGACACACCGAAGGGGCCCAAACAAGAGGATTAAGACCTGCGTTTGGACTGTCGTTGCCAACTCTACCCCGATGCTTCACATACTGATGAAAAAAGGAACTCATTGGATGACCAGTGGAAGCATCGCCTCTCATGTCATCATAGTCGTCATAAAATTTTATTTTTAAGGGCAAGTCAAATGTTTCCTGTTTTAGAGAAAAGCAACTGATTTATTTTTCTTTTTTAAATTACAGAGCAAATATTTTGCCTGTATTTGTTATTCTTGACAGAGCACTAAACCTTTACAGCTTCTGTCTGGCAGTGTGCAATTTTACAGGTTTCTGTTTGAGAGTTAAGCTTACAGTGTTGCACCTTATGGTTTTTTCGGTGGGGGATGGGAAGGGAACTCGCACTCGTCAGGCTCCAGAAGTCTCATAGTGACCGAGTTGTCTACAAGTTTGAGGTTTACAGCATTTAAACATAAGATTTGACTTAAACATATTATTAAAAAGCTAACTTAACCTGAGCCTTACTAACAAGTATTCCTGTTTTTGGAGTCAGTATCTCCTCGGAATGTATCCTCCTGCTCCTCATCATCCTTTTGAGTACATTGCACCAACATCTTGGGCACTTCTTCCCCCTTTATGGAGTGTTTTATCCTCCCTGTTGCAGTTCGAATGTCATTAGCTCAGTGTCTAATCACAATGGTGACTGTAACAACAAGACAAGCATAAATTTGGTCATAGTTAGACCTGATTACATGTTACATCTGAGTATTATGGCAAACTTGATATGTCTATCTATCAGTGGAGTCATATTCTGAATATACTGTATATCATGGCTTAAAAGCTGTTTGCTACATTGATTAAGAAGGATGCAGTGATTGGTTAGATTTATGTCTGGGTTACGAGCATATGAGATTTACTGAGACTTTTTATTTATTTATTTTTTTTTAAATCTAATCAGTCTTTTTTTTTATCATTAGCTATCCCTGGGAAGATAACACTTTGGAAGCAGGGGATTAAAAATTGCTTTTGTTATAGACATATAAACATGCATATGAGAGGGCATAGGTTCTTCTATGTCTGTTTTTGATCATTTTAGATAAATACACTGTACATATTAACTGATCCTCATCAACAGGTTGGTAGAGGGCAGTGATTTTCTGCAATATAACGTTTTGATTATTATTATTATTATTATTTTTATTATTTTATTATTTTTACCTGTGTTTATGTATTTTAATACCAATGAAAGCTAGTCTTATTCTGACTGCTTTTGTGTATTTAGACAGCGCAGCTGGCAGAAAACCACTTCTTTAACCAAGTAAACCCATTTATTCAGTCATGCATAAGAAGTTGGGTTTTCACCAGATGTGTGTACAGTTGTATGTTGAAGCTTAAACTTTTTGTCAGATCAGTTTTTTTCCCAAGTTGAGTGACCTAAACTAAATGCTGCTCATATCTAAGAAATGCTTCTGTTCATTCTACTGAAACTGTAGGTTATTTATCAGGGATATGTGAAAGCTTGTATAAAAACATTGAGAAGGATATGGCTGTTGAGTGTATCATTTAGTCTTGTCTATTTATTGTTATAAAAGTCTGCCTTTTTTTTCTCTCGCGTATCGAGTTTGAACCATACCTGCTGCAGGCAGTGTTTGTATATTTTGTTCTATTACCGGTAAGTGAACTATTGAAGTAACGTACTTTAATCAAACAGAACATTTATAACTTGAGAAGGCAGGAGTTCTATGTTGCTAGAGCACATGTGGTCCCCTCTTTAACCCGTCTTTGGAGTATGTGATTGTGGTGCTTCCCTTTTTCATCACGTCAAAACTACCAATAGTTTCATTTGCTGTTCTTTGTAAACAAATATTCTTTATTGATCCAGCAGATGTTGTAACATGCAGAATAAAATGATACAAGTTGAACTCTTTACATGGTTCTGTGTAGTCTTTTTATAGTATGACTATACACAGCATAGAATAATATATACATTTGATTAATTTGATATCAGTTTTTGAACTTTGTAAATGAGAAGCAGTACTTCGCACAATGAGGAGAACATGACAAATACATTGCAAGATATATTAAAAATACAACCAAAACTATTTGCAGATCATGTTCCTCGGGTTGTCCTCCATTTAGTCGGTGCCAAAGTACCTCTGTCCGAAATGTGTTGGAGCCACCGGGTGGACTTCTGTGGTCAGAATTGTGATATCTGGGAACTCCTGGATTATAGATTTTGCTCCTAGAAGAAAAATGTACAGTTGGTTCACTTTCTGTCTGAAACCTAAGCCGCTGATGTGCTGAATTAACAAAAGCAACTAGCAGCCAAAACCTGAAGCTTTTCTGAGGTAAGGCTGCTATGAAATGCCAGTTCATGACCAGGATGGAAAAAACCAACCATCTTAATTCCCACCATCTTCAGCTGTACTGTGGTGAGGTTAAGCACAGCTCAGGTAAGCTGATAAAGGGGCCTAGAGCTTAAGAAGCAACAACACTGACATATCCTCACTTTGTAGGTTTATACAGCAAACATTAAAAAGTAGATGCATGTTCACCTGTTCCAAAACAAAATTATTATTTATCTGGCATTTGGAACTGTTTTTGTTTCTACCAACCCCCGAGGGGAATAATCTACCTTTAAGTCCACTATGTTCATTAGCTACTCCATTTGCTACCTACTGTGGCTTTTAAGTGCTTTTTTGTTAAAGGCAGCTATCTGCTGTAGCTGCAAATGGATTGAGAATGAACAAACACTAAACAATGAACTGAAACTCACTATAAAGTACTGACAACTCCTTTAGCACGGTCAGATACACTGTTAGTATAAAAAATACTAATTATAGATTATTAAAAATAATGTAATGGTAACACACAATGGTCTCATTCAACATGACAATGAGATTACCAGCATTGGTGTCCAGGAATCACTCGAATCATCCACTTTATTATTAGGTACATTTTGGTAGTATTAAGTTGGAGCCGCTTTTGCATAAGGTGCTGGAAAAATTCCTCAAGATTGGAGTACAGCTAACTCACTATCACAGTCTCTAACCAGCTTGAGATGACTTGAGCTTTGAGATCCTGCTGTGTTATCCTGCTGGAAGCAGCCACCAGAACATGTGCACCCTGCGCTTATAAATGGATGGAAAATGCTGACACTACCATCCAAATGTCGCTGCAAAAATAGAGACATTAGACCAGGTGATGTTTTTCTCAGACTTCTATTATCCATTTTTTGTGAACTTGTGTGAACTGTAGCCTCTGTTTTCTGTCCTTAGCAGACAGGAGTGGCACCCAGTGTGGTCTTCTGCTGCTGTAGCCTATCTGCTACAAGTTTTGATGTATGCAGAAGATGCTCTTCTGCATACCTTGGTTCTAAAATGTCTTTTTTTTGAGTTGGTGGTTCCTTCCTCTCAGCTCAAAGCAGTCTGACTTCTGACATCAACAAGGCATTTTAACCCAAAGAACGCCTGCTGACTGGATTTATTACCTTTTTAGAACATTCTCTGTAACTCTAGAGATGATCGTGTGGGAAAATCCCAATAGATCAGCAATTTCTAAAACACTTAGACCAACCTCCTTGACACCAACAACCATGGACTGTTCACTTACATCACCTTTCTTGCCCAACTTGACATGCCTACATGCATTGGGTTGGTGACGTGATTAGCTGATTACATACTCGTGCCTGTGAGCAGTTGAGCACTTGTACCTAATAAAGCGACCACTTCTGTATATAGCGTAGACCAGGGTTTGATTACCTGGTAAAAGGAAACGTCTTTAAAAAGGCTTCATCCCCTTCAGAGGATTAAATAGCTTTTTATATTTTAATGGCAACATGTGCTTAATATGTCAACGTTTCATATATTTAAGTGAAATAAATCTATTAAACATCAAGACAATCTGGCCCAAGCTAAAGTAGAGAAAACTATAAACATGCAGAAGTTACATAGTTTACTGGTGACTGCTGAGCAAGACTTCAGATCAGCAGCGCCACAGAACCTCATTGTTGTTGGCAACAGTATTTTTTATATAGACACTGATGCAGCAGAAACATGAGTGGAGGAGCAATAGAGGACAATGTGTGTGATCTGGGAGGTAAACAAAACCGAGCTGGTGGCGACTGCACTTGTGTTGAGCTGTCTGGCTTACCATGAGGTGTGGAGAAGAGGCTGAGTAGGATAATATGTTTGGGTTGGACCCTGTGCTCTTTCAGCACCCTCACAGCCTCAATCACGGTGTTCCCTGTACCTGCAGACACAGAACAGATAAGGTTTGCTTCACATTCCTGCTTATAATGACAAATTTGCTGACTCATCTCAAGAATATGTGACAAGTCGTAACAGATTCCCAACACAAACTACATAATTGCATTTTTCCCAATTCAAATATATGCAACTCATGCATTATGAGCATCTTAAAAGAAAAGGAAAGTGATTGTGTGCTGATTGATGTGCCCATAAGTCTGGACAATTGACAGGCTTTAATTTCACATCCAGTTAGCATGCATCAATGAAACCATATGTTCCATCAATCTGACATTATAAAATATACCTTGAGCCTAGCTTGGTCACTTTTTTTTTTTTTTTAAAGCTGAGAACAGAAAAATGCTGCTTTGTGACACAGGGAAACCGGGGCTATTAAGATACTATTTTTGTTGGCCCTCATTATGTTATTCAGCAGCCTGGTGGCTATCTCCCAGGCAATGTATAATTACCCCCATGAGAACCATAATTATCAGAGCAGTGTGAATGGGCCGGCATGATGTGGAAATGCAGACTTGGTGGTGAAGGTCAACTCAAGGGAGATTTTCCAAAATTAATAAATACAAAAAACTTTTTTTTCTTTTTACACTTGCACAGAATTGAACATCTCTTGACATTTACGTGCTACTGAAGGTGACAAACTGGAGTCACCAGCAAGAAAAAACGATCTCAGCCATCTTGTTACTTACTGAGAATGGGGTACATGAGCAGCACTTTTCTTCTATACACATCTGGGGGGAACTTGGCATAGTAGACCTTGGCTTTCTGTGTCTCTTCGTCACTCTGTATGAGGATCTTGCCAATGCGGATAGAGCGGCAGCAATCACGGAGACCCTGCTCCATGGCCTCGCCTGTGAGAAAGCACATGAAACGCAACTGTGGTTGAAAGGTTACACAAATATATTTGTTGCTTAGGGTTAGTGTTGTCTTCATCAGCGGGGATTTCCAGCAGACCTGCACCTACATGTGTGTTGCGTCTCATTTCTCCAGTAAGACACGCTCACGCCATATCGGTTTGTTTGAAACAAGAATAATTATCAGCAGCGCTAATCATAAAAATACATTCTGGATTTTCCTAAACCCAAAGTCACCTAAAAATATTAAAGAAATATAAAGACATGGCTGGTGCCATTTAAAAAACAAGCAAACAAACAATGCTATATCTAAATGCAGAATTGCCCGCTTTCCTCCACAACCACACAGAAAAGTTCACACAATGGTCACACTGTAAAGCATTCAGTCTTCATTACATTACAGCACTCTACCATGACATGCTCAAAGTCAACCCACGAGGATGTCAAGACATGACTGTGGTATGGAAAACAATAGAACCGGTGTTTTGACTTAGCTGATGTGTTACCTTTAAGGTACAGTGTTTGAGTTTTATACTTCCTGTGTTTTATTCTAGCATGACTGTCAAAAAGGCAAAACAGGCTTTGCAGACAGCTATGGTAACAGTCTCATTAAACCAAAAGGATAAATAACAAGTGTTACTTCTGGTTGTGTGGTCTGCTGACAGCGAAGCCTTCAGAGACTGTGCTCTCTACAAAACTAAAAACAAATAGCTGTCTCAAATGCCTAACATAACGTTTACACAACTTAGTATTCAAACAAGAGAGAAGTCTATGATCCAAGAGCAAAACAGATGCACAGTATGAGTACACGGTTGCATGGAAGACTTGTGTGTACCTAGGAAAGACACAAATTTGTTTTGATAGGTGTGCTAGAGAAGGTTTAACTTACCACTCCTCATAATGCTGACTCCACAGTTGCCTCTTTCAAACTTGACACCCTCATACTTGTACCCTGAGGGAAAAAATGAAGCAGAAACAGTCACAAAATGTAGCTGTTCAGAAAAAGCCCAAACAGTCATATAATGCTGGGAGTTAAAACACTCAAACACTGGAGCCCACTGGTCAGAATTCAGAACTCTGTTTTTGTCTAACCTAGTCTTTACGCCTGAATAACGACTTCATTATTACAGAGAGATCCTCCTCACCTGTCGGTGTGGTCACTGTGCACTCAGAGTAGGGGAGCTGGTTCAAGCCCTCTTCAACTACAAGCCTGATCTGTTTTTTTACAACACAAACAGACTTTATTTATAAACTCTTCACACTTTTACAGCATACTGTATTAAAGTCATGATCTTACCAGTCGGTCCGCACAAAACACAAAATCTCCTCTGCTGGTTGTCCTGAAAACGTAAATATGAGTTTGATTAGATCATTTTAGATCAGGGGTTGGCAAACTTTTACTATGAAAAGGGTCATTTTCAAGCAATTCTTAACCTGTAAAGAACATCTGATATTTGCAATGCCTATTTATTTAAGCCATTTGTTATACAGTCATGTGAAAAAGTAATTTTCCCACAGTAATTGTTTTCTGTATGCCGTTTTAAGTCTCTCACATCATTGTGGAGGAATTGTGGCTCACTTGTGGCGCACTTACAGTGATATTTGTTCATTGAGGTTTGCAGGCATTCATATATGCACAACATTTTTAAGGTCCTGCCATAAAATTTAATTAAGGCTGAGGTCTGGACTTTGACTGGACTGCTGCAACACCTTCATTCTTTTCTTTTTCAGTCATTCTGTTGGCGATCATTGTCCTGTTGTGTGACATCAAGCTTTAGCCCATGGCCTGACATTTCACTGTAAAATACTTTGGCATATGGTTGACTAAGTGACTGCAATATGCTCAGGTATATAGCTGCAAAATAAGCTTAAATCATCACCCCTCCTCCACCATGCTTTACAGCTGGTATGAGGTATTTGTGCTGATGTGCTGTGTTTTGTTTTTCGGAAACGTGAACCCTGGCCCAACATTTTGTGGTTTGTTCAGATCAACTTTGAAAACCTACGCCCCCCTCTGCTAGGTTATTTTTAAAGAGAAGATGTATTCTCCTGGCAACCCTTCCAAACAAACCAGACTTGTTCAGTCTTTTTCTGATTGTACTGTCATGAGTTTTATCATGCTAACTGAGGCCTGTAGAGTCTGAGATGCAGCTCTTGGGAGTTTTTACAGATTATCTGAGCACTGCATGGTTGTTAACACACACCTGAATGCTCCAGACCAGCAAATTGCCAAAATGTCTGCTTTTACAAAGATCCTGACTGTTGATGATGATCAGATTATCAGCACTGCATAGTCCTGTGGAAACTCTTTTTTACATGACTGTATGCATGTCATTTTTGAATTCTTATCATGTGTTAATGAAGAAGGCACCATCTATTATTTGGATGTTTGCCCATCAAAATACCAATAACAGTAAAAATGCAAATCTTTTACCACATGTGACTACTTTAAAGTGGGCTATTCATAATTAGTATTTTAACTTTTCGTTTTCATTACAATAATATAATTTTTTGTTGCATTTATAATTCCTAATGATCTATTTCTTTTAAGCTACATGCATCTCTGAGCTGGTTGATACTCAGCACTGCTCTGATTCAAATGATCTTATTACTGCTTCAATTTCATCTCTTTTTGTGTGAACAGACGACAACTATGTATCCGGTAAAGTAATACGAGGTTATAACTACACAAGACACCTTAACAACTGTAAGATATGTGCAATTTTATGTTGGTTCTTTTGATACAATAAATTATTCTCTCCTTGAAAGGCTTAAAAAATGTTGTAGCTGAAACTGTTATGATAGTTACTATGACGTTTCCTTGAAGAAGCATCACTTGTTTTAGTCACAGGCATGGACAGTATCGCACATACTGTAGTTTTCTTTCACCATGTTGAGTCATCATTGAAGCTATATGGGTCATTTCATATCAACTGACTAAATCTGAAAAAAATTCCCAGCCTGAAAAATTCCCAGGGTGATCATAACGTTACGTTGGCCTGACCTATCTAATATCACTGCAAACTCTTTGACTTCCCCTGGAAATTTAAATTCCATTAGATTTTTGGTAAGCTGCCTTTTTTAGGATTAGTGGCATCCTTTAAATTACATACCTTCCTGGTTTTCTATTATAGTTCCAGTTCAGTGAAATGAAGAACAGCTACGTTTTTCCATTTACTAATTATAGTTTTCTACAGAGACCATAAACACAATTTAAAGTCTATATTTTATATAAGGCTCGTTACTTGCTTTTGTACCACAACCACTATGTATATGGCCTGTGTGTCAGTAAATAAGAGCGGGGGACTCACTTGTCTCTGATTATTGTCTGTAATTCACGGATCTGGTCATTCAGAGGAAGCAGCTTAAGCTGGGGTCCCAGGTTGTCCTGGCTGTCAGGCTGTGTTGTGGCATCACTTGGTTCGGAGTTGGATACTACTGCAGGCACGCTGCTGTTACTGTTTGCAAACCGAACTTGCTTCATTGGGTGCTCCTGGCCACTGCTCACATTGTTCAGCTGCTGATTGTGGCATGGCATCCTGAGTAAAAGCAAGAGATATCTATGCTAAAGTCAGCTAGCTTCTTTCCGCAGCGCCACACACGTACTAACGGTGTGTCACAAGGAACACAACGTGCTCTGTCGTTAGCTTCAACTCTTAAACTTCGAGTAGCTACTGCACAGACACCCCCGTTAGGACTTCACTCACAGATGTACAGACACCGAAACAGGTCGTGTTAAAAACAATTCCTCGCCGTTACTGCTGGCTAAAAAAACAGAAAACGCAGCGATTAGAAAACCTGCTTGCCCGCTAGCTTTGACACAATGTTAAAGAAGGCCGGATATGACGTACCCGGCGTGTTGACTAACTGCCCTCCTTCCTCATACAACATGGCGCTGATGTTGGCACCGCTGAAATGCGGCATTCACTTTCAAAAACGAAAACTAGCGCTTCTCATTCGGCAGACGAGCTCATATCATGTTTGGAATAAAAGTCGTAATGAGCCGGGGACTGGCCATACACGCCAAAGCACATATCCGGTGAGTGAGGACGGGGCTGGTCAGAGAGGACACGGTGCTTTTAGCCACCAGGCAAGGGCAGAGAAAAAGTCTTTCTAAGTAACTTTCAGGAATGATACCTAGATAGATGGTTTGTTTTCTGGTTTGTTAGAGAGACAGGCGGTTGTCATCTGTTAAAAGAGCCCTTTGGGTTTGCTTTAAGTAGCTGGCTAAGTAGCTAACCCTGCATTAACTTAACGACTTAGGTTACTCATGTTATGTCATAACGTCGTTGTTAGTTTTAAATGTATGTCAGCTGAACGGAAAGCACGTCAAAGTCAAACAGGTTTCTTAAAAATACAGTTCAATATGTGCGTGTGTGCGCGTGCAAAGTCTGACGCCTGTCAAAGGTCCCAGTCACGTGTTATCGGTCTTTACTGAAAACTTAGATAAGACCGTCCCACCCTGTCAAACCTAGAGTAACTGTCATGTCACGTAAACGCACTGTTATAAATTATTTGGCACATTTACTGTTTTTAGAAGTTATTCATTCTTAGCTCCAACTCTTCCAAGTTGTCACATTCCCATTTAATGTGTCTGACACTAGAACGGTTCACTCTCACCTCATGTTAAGTATGCCGTTTATCTGTCATCTTCACTTGGAAGGTAAAAACAGATAAGAGGGATGTTTACAGTCGTGCTGTGTCTTATAGGAAATAAAAGTATCCTTAACCTATTTCACTCATAGTCACTGGAGTCTTATTACAGGGTAGGTTTACGCTCAGTTTGATCTTAAATGAACCATACAGATGCTGTGTTTTTAAGCACTCAGGTCCTGCTTGATCCATTACTGTGCTTCAATGTGGTATTTCCTGTTCTCGGTGTTTCAAAACGTTTACCAAACCTTTATTTAAAAACCAGTTTAGGCAACTTCTCTTCTGTTTGTTTGGTTTGCATAACCTTTGAACTCCGACTATGAATGCTTAAAAAATTTGCTGAAATCACACAATGAATTAAATATTTAGTACTTATTTGTTTAAATGATGTGAGCGTAGTGGTTTACCCATTTGCCTAAACAGGTAAAAAAATCCTCCATTTGATTCTGGGAGAAATCTAATAGAGGAGGGAAGTGCATCCGGAGTAAAAACTGTGACAAATCAAACATGCTCTTTGTTTTAAATGATGTGAATTTTGGGTTATTAAATTTTGCTTGCTTTTATTTACTGTTTTACACTGTCTCTCAGTGTGGTAAACATGATTATTGAAAAATTTAGGAACATTGGTAAAATCAGTGCTCTTGTGTGTTTCAGTCAAGTTCACCTCCACACCTACGAACGGCAACATGGAGCACCAACAGGAGCGAAAAAAGTCGTCAGATTTTGGAAGCTGCAAAAGTAAGTGTGTATTAAGAAATAATCACATATTGGCGTCCTGTTATTCAAATTAATTAATATAGGGTAACAGTGAATTCCCCTTCCACAGCACTTACAGGTTACAGACAAACGGACATGTTGGCACGGAAATGCAGGCGGGGGACTAAGCGCAGACCCAAAAAATGTGGTGAGTACGGTATCGTGTTTTAATGATTACTTAGTGAAACTTTTCATGCTTGGATGACATGAAACCTTTAATTTTTTTTGTTTGAAAATGCTGACCAATGTTATTCTTAAGATGACAAAACTAAACAGTGTAATATCTGTGAATCAGTTTGGTGTTACGCAGCCTTAAAGCTGACTCAAACTGCTGCATTGAATCTACGCTGTAGTTACATCATAATTGCAAATCCCTCTGAAACCTTATGCCGTAATCTAATGTACACCTACCTGGAAATGTAACCGCATGTTACGTTGACACAGACTGTCTTATTGCTGGTCAAATGAGTTTTCTCTGTCAAATTGGGTTAGGGGGCTGAACTCTTAAACTCTTAATGGCTTCATTGCCTAATGGGCGAAACGCTAAAATAAGACTCCAGAGAATTTCACATATGTTATGTGACTTGAATAAAAGAGACATTAGTTTTACAAGAACTTGGGTTAGGTATTAATATTAACTCCACATTGAAGAGTTTAACTGAAAGCTGAGTTACATTTAATATTTCCAGATAAAACGAGTAACTGTAACGAAGTTGGGCCTTACAGAAACTTCAGTAGTGCATTAAACTGTTCATTTTAATCCTCCCTCAGCAGTGTCACACATTGCTGATTGTATTTGATTAAAAGCAGGTGCTGGGCACACTTTCACTGTAATTTGTTAGGAGGTGCTGCCATACAGCAGCGTCGTAACATGGTGCCACCATATTGAGTGGATTAGAGGAATTACTGCATATTCTCCGGCCTGTGGAGAGTCCCTGTGGCAGATGTGTGTTGGAGCGTGGGTAAACAGCTATGCTGGCACCAGCGGGCTCTCGGCCTCAGCTGGGATGACAGCCCAGGTATCTCGTGGGACTTGTAGTGTCAGACTGGATCCCCAAGTCCACCTGGAGACTCTGCTGTCATCGTGGCTGCCATATCTCCTTGGGGACTCCTGTTGACATTTGATGTTCTACGTGCGTGCCCAGAGAGCCATCTTTAGGTTACTGGGATTGTCAACACTGAATGCAAAATGTATGGTGTTTGCCAGTATTGCCCAGTGAGGCAAATTAGACTGTTAACATAGCAGCTATCCCACATATTTCACAAGGTGTTCTATTGAATAAATAAAGTTTGCTGCTGTGTCTTTTACACAGCTGAAGGAGGTGAATTCAGCTCAAATCCTGTCTGCGATGCTGTCTTATGTGTGGCCGAAGGATAGACCCGACCTGCGAGCCCGTGTTGCTCTCTCTCTGGGCCTGCTCGCTGGATCCAAGGTAAGCTTAATTTCTCTTTTATTTATTTTTATATATATCATATAAAGAGAATTTAATTAGTTTGACTGGTGATTAGCCACATTACTTGGACTTACCTAACAACAACTGATATTTTTATCACATTACTTCTGCTTTATGCTTTGTGGATTTGTTCCATCCTGAAGAAGAAGGTTAGCTAACAGCTAATGGCCTCCCTTGTGACATTAGGACCCAGATATTCTTAGATTGAAGCAAGATACTTTGACAAAATAAACTCAGCTGATTGTTGACAGAGTTGTTAACTAGCACAAAACCCCCTGCAGTCTTCACTCATCATATATTCCCACAGCTTCAGAGTCATTCTTGCATGTTGCTGCTCATTTTAATTTGTTACTGTTTTCAAAAGAGATGCATTTTAGAGAATTGGTAATTGGAAATGAGGATTATTAATTTCTCCCCTGGTAGATGTTTTAGGCAAGGACATCATCAGTATGTTAAGAAACAATTCTGTAAATCATGTACGTGGCTTTTCATAGTGAAACACAGTGACAAAGAGAGGTTATAATCCAAGGTTACCACTTGCTTCAGTTAAATCCACCATTATTAGTTATAACAGTCATCATAAAAATGAGTATTATATTTTACCAAAAAAAAAGATGAAACAATTTGCAAATCATTTCAGCTCTGTTTAATTAAAAATGCTAAAGACAAGAAATGAGTTTTAAAAAGTGAGAAATTGTATTTGCTTTGTTATGCATGCATGTGTCTTGAATGCCAAATATAATTCACACAAATACTAATTTGGCTTTTTGACAGCAGTTCAAGCAAGAAGTTTAAAAAAAACAAAAAAAAAATGTTTCTCAATATATAAAATCCAAAATATTTGATATTTAATATTAACAGAACCTGGGGAAATCTGTGTGCAAAATCAGTGTTGAAAAGCCCTTTGTTTTTAAACCAATGTTATTGGTGTTACAGCAATGCTTGAACATTCTCGACACACTCTGATTGGCCTGGAGCGTTATGGCGTCAGGTTAAGAGGGGTTACCAGTTACACTGTAGATTTCCTGCTGATTTCAGGCTTAAGAGAGGGCACAAGGGTAAACGTGCCATATCCACACTTTCTTTTTGAAAAGTTATGCTGTCATTAAACTAAAAAGTTCACAGATTCCCAGAAAAAATTGAATTTTTGAAATTCAGTACGTGCAAAAATGTAAGATCTGTGAAGCAAGTGTCATGAAAAAATGCCAGTGTCAAGCCAAGTCATTTGAATAGGTCTAACAAACTGTGTGTTAGGAAATGCTTAGAAAAAACACCATGCTTGGTTTTATTATTTGCCACCAGCTCTTTTTTTTTTTTTTTGGCACTGTTGTTGTAGGATGAGACTGAAGTGAAAAGCCCGATAATGTGGATGTGAAGTGCTCTGAAGCCCAACAGATGAAATTGGGCCGTTCAGTATTGCATTCAGGACCTGCTTCATTCATTTTTAATGAAAACAAACCGCAACAAATAAATTATATCATTAATTATACCAGCATGTCATTACTTTGCAGAAAGTTGACCTGTAGCTTCACTTTTGTATACAGTGACTTTGCACATCCATTCATTTGCTTAACTGCTTATCCAGTTCAGGGTCATGGGGTCGAGCCTGCACAGCCTATCGCAGATGTCGTGCGACAAGGGGCAGGGTACACACTGAACAGGTCCTCAGTTTATTGCAGAAAATTATGCTTTTTTGTGTAAATTTGATGTATCATTACTGTTTATATATCTTATTGCTTTTGGTTTTCTGTCATCCACGAAGCAATTCAATTAATGAGTGTTAGGATTTTACATTTTTTTTAATCATTTTTGGCGAAGAAACAGCTGAACTGGTAGTTTTTTAGGATGAAGTTTTGTTTTGATCAGCTTGTTTTCTTAACTTTTCTTTGAGAATTTACTGCAGTGATGCTGTGTTACGAGATACAAGTGACTCTGTAGTTGTGTACTAAAAGCTACTTTCAGCTACTCACAAGGGGTCGCCACAGCAGGTAGCTA